CGGGATGCCGCATTGCTGTGGCAAGGCAGTGCAAACCGCACTTCAGTTGTTCTTTTCCTTGGTGGGCAGTGAGCACCGTGTACTTCTACTCTTCTTGACTGCCCTCGCAGCCTCCTTGTCATTTGCCGTGTTTATGGAGGCTGCAGTCCGCAGTCTCCCCATTGGAAGTGTGCTCACTCCGTTGATTTAACTCTTACTTGTTTGTTTGCTATCTTACTGGGAGGCGCCACAAGCGTAGTGACTACGGGGACAATGACGATGTATTGGCTCACTGTGACTGCAGATTGTGCCCATTGTTTCATTCTGTTTGCTCTTTTGCCTCACTGCCATTTTGCCTTTCTCAATTTACTTTGTCTACACACTTGGAAGGAAAGAGACCAAACGCTACTTGCTGCTGCGCGCTTTGAAGGCTCTGCAGCCACCACCAGCAACTCACACACACACGCAAACACACACGCAATCGTCGTGGCCTGAGCGGATGCACCACAACAAGGGAAGGAAAAGAATGAGTGAGCAGCGACAATCCAACATGTGCCGTCATCCGTTTTCTTTTTCGGTGCAGCTCCTCTGCGTGCTGTTGATATGCTTTTGCAGTACGGCTGTGCACGCCGAGGAGGTAACTAAACCAAAGGAAATGCAAATACCAAAGTCTGTTGATCTTTTTGTGCCGCATCGAACGATTGTGGAAACACAAGGTCGAAGTCAAACGAGGAATTATTTTGCCTACCCCTCCCTCGCCAGTGCTGGTGGAGTGTTGGTTGCACTTGCCGAGGGTAACATCTTCTTTCAACACACCCGTGATAAAAACAATTGGCTCATTTACGCTGATGTTGTGGCGGGGTACATTGACTCTGCGGAGAACTGGTCGTCTTTTGTCGCTAAGGTCCGTGCAAACGAATGGTGGGCGTACAACATCTTTAACACGACCACGCAAGCTGAGTATAACGGCCGTGTGAGATATGCGTACAGACCCACAACAATTGCAAAGGACAACAAGGTCTTTCTACTTGTGGGGGGCTATCATCAGAAGTATGATCCCTCATCGAGGGAGTGGATTGTGTCCTCACAGGGTCTTGATTTGCTCGTGGGTGAGGCCACGCAAGATAAAGTCATCCAATGGGGCGAACCCACCTCGCTTGCACCACAGATCGAACCATCTGCTCAACAACGTGGCCTGGAGCAGTTTGTTGGTGGTGGTGGCTCGGGCGTTGTGATGGAGGATGACACGCTTGTGTTTCCTGTGACGACGAGGAGGACAGGAGACAACGAAACTGTGTCCATGATCATTTATTCGAAGGACGACGCCAAAAATTGGACGCTTTCACAGGGGATGCTCCCCGTGGGGTGCACTGACCCCCTCATTGTTGAGTGGGAGCAGGGGCAGCTTGTCATGGTTGCCAAATGCAATTCTCTCTTAAAGGTGTTCGAGTCGAGGGACATGGGGGCAACGTGGACGGTGGCTGTCAGGACACTCACACGCGTGCAGCCCAGGTTTTCACCAGACTCTTTGCGAACAGCTGAGAGAGTGGGGTCCCTCACAACTGCGACCATTGCTGGAAAGAAGGTCATGCTGTACACTCAGAAAGGGATTCCTTCTTGGAAGATGGTGGAAGCCACCGCGTCCCGCCTTTGGGTCACTGACAACAACCGCATGTTTCACGTCGGGCCCATTTCCATGGACACTGACACGACGCTGACGTTTGGCAACACCCTGCTCTATTCGAAAAATGCGTTGTACTTTTTACAAGAGAGGGGCACTTTCAGGGCAAGCAGCCTGGCTCTTGCTCCCCTAACGGAACAGCTGAAGACGATCACGTCCATCTTGGAGACTTGGGAAGAAATCGACTCCTACCTCTCCGAGTTGTCGGTGCCCACAGCCGGTCTGGTTGGATTCTTGTCGGATGCATCGGGTGAAGGAAGTTGGAACGACGCGTACCGTTGCGTGAATGCAACTGTGAGGAATGCAAAGAATGTCAGAGATGGCTTTAATTTCACGGGGTCCGAATCATACGCCATGTGGCCGGTGAACATGCGGGCGCATCACTATGTGCACAGCTTTGTGAATTACGAGTTTACGCTTGTGGCGACGGTGAAGATTCATAAGGCTCCGAAAGAGAGCTCTTCTCTGCTGGGTGCGGGACTGGGGGACAATGAAAACACGACGTTTGTGGGGCTGTCGTACACGCCGGCGAACGAGTGGGGGACAGTCTTCAACGGTATCACGAGAACAACACACAGCAGCACTTGGGAGCCGGGGAAGGAGTACAAAGTGGCGCTCCTGTTGCAGGGAAGCGAGGGCTCCGTGTACGTGGACGGCGTGCTTGTCGGGGATACTAACAAACTACCAACCCTTAAGTCACGGAGGCGTGATATCTCTCATTTTTACATTGGTGGCGGCGAAAACAGCAGTGTGACGGTAAAGAACGTCTTTTTGTACAACCTCCCACTAAGTGAAGATGAACTCAAAGCAGGTGTCAGCTTTGATGCATCCGAAGAAGTTGCAGGTGACAGCTCCGATGCGTCTGAGCAACATGCAGGTGACAGCTTTAATGCATCCGAGGAACATGCAGGTGACAGCTTTAATGCATCCGAGGAACATGCAGGTGACAGCTTTAATGCATCCGAGGAACATGCAGGTGACAGCTTTGATGCATCCGAGGAACATGCAGGTGACAGCTTTAATGCATCCGAGGAACATGCAGGTGACAGCTTTGATGCATCCGAGGACAGTGCAGGTGA